GACTTACAATAGCTCATGGCACTTTCTAACAGCCAGCTTCCAAAACACTCAGATCAGATCAGCCCAGCATCTAACGAAACAGAGAGAGAACTAACAGTCGTTCTGGCTCCCTCTTATGGCTGATTGAGGAAAACAGCAACCAATCACATTTTACAGTATGATTCAATGAAACAGGTACAACATTGTTACATGATTTATATATTGCCAACTCAACCATTAGATTATATTCCTAACAATCTGTATTCAAACTGTTCCACTGATTAATCATTCCCACTGTCAGGAATATTTTCCTTAATTCTAGGTTGCTTCTCTCCTTGATGAGTTTCCATCCTTTGCTTCTTGTCCTGCCCTCAGGTGCTTTGGAGAATAGGTTGACTCCCTCTTCTTTGGGGCAGCCCCTCAAATATTGGAACACTGCTATCATGTCACCCTTAGTCAGTGGTGCAATTCAACCAGTTTAACAACCAGTTCGGTGAATGCGTGGTTTGCGAATGCACGCAGCCTTCAAAACCCACTCATTTTAAGCTAAAACTTACCTTCTATTGCAACTCCAGTGAGTAAAACAGCTGAGGCATGACAATCCACTGTGCTGAGCCAATCAGCTGAGCTGAAAACCACGGAAATATAGGACAGAAGAGGGCAGGGGCGGGTGGGCAGTGCCAACTGATAATTGGAACTACCAGTTCTCCCACCCCTGCCCCTAGTTCCGTCATGGCGAACATATGCACCAGCTGACTTCAGCCTTCTTTTAAGGCTTTTTTTTCGCCCCCTGGAGGCTTTCTTGAAGCCTCCAGAGTGTGGGGAAAAAACCGGAAGTTCGGGAACAGACTTCCGGTTTGCTCATAGGGCCGGTTTTCGCCCTCCTGAAGGCTCAGGAGGGCAAAAAACAGCCCTCCGAGCAAACCGGAAGTCCATTTCCCAAACTTCCTGTTTGCCCTTAGGGCTGGTTTTTCACACTCTGGAGGCTTCAGGGAGGCTCCTGAAGCCTCCAGGGGGCGGGAAGGCTGTTTTTGCCCTCCCCATGCTCCTAGAAAGCCTCTGGAGCCTGGGGAGGGCAAAAAAGCACTCCAAAAGTGGGGGAAGTGCTGGTCGCACACACATGCACACTGGGGTTGTATGCACATGCGTGCTGGGGTCATGCACATAGCATTATGGGTGTGAGCACACCCGCGCACGACCCCACTGTGCTTCCCCCACTTTTGGCGCATGATCCAAAAAAGGTTAGCCATCCCTGTCCTAGCCCTTCTTTTCATCAGACTAGACCAGGGGTCAGCAAACTGTGGCTCTGGAGCCACATGTGGCTCTTTCATCCCTCTGCTGTGGCTCCCTGTTGCCAGTCGGAACCACAATTTTGAGAGGAGCTTCTGGTTTGGGGGAGGGGGAAGCAGGAGACTCTATGGCAAGGGGCGGGTTTTCTCGTGATAGGGCTTTCAGTTAGGACAGGTAGAGGAAAAAGGACGCCGCACTAGGAGGAGACTCTATGGTGGGGGAACTGAACTTCTGCTCGGCTCCAGAATTGAACAGGGGGCTTCCGGTTAGGAACTTTGTGGCTCTTTGAGTATTTAAGATTGCTGATCCCTGGGGTAGACATACCCATAACCGTTCTTTATATGTTGTACCACAATAGCAGGAGAGTTGCGTCAACTGATAGGACAGGCTGACTTCCCACCAGATAGCCATAGCAAGCAAAGTCAGGCCTACCTTAAGTCAACATTTTCAGCCAAGGACTATCTAGAACTGTCTTACGGTGCCAATGGAAGACTCTGTATTTTTTTTTATTTTTTTTTATATGTGTACGAGAACCTACGGGAAAGTTAGAAGCTCCTCATTTATGCATCGGTCTACATCGCTCTTCCCTCTTAATTTCAGATACCGACGGGATGGATCTGTTCGCTGTGGCAGTCCACGAATTTGGCCATGCCATCGGCTTAACCCACATCTCTGCCACCGAATCAATCATGAGGCCGTACTACCAGGGACCTGTTGGAGACCCTTTGAAATATGATTTGCCGTATGAAGACAAAGTGCGGATTTGGCAGTTGTACGGTGAATGTCCGACGCCTCCCAGCTAATTGGAGAAGGGCACACGTTTTATTATTTAAAAAATACAAACCCTAAAAGGCCATTACAGGTAGTCCTCGACTTACAATAGTTTCTTCGGCACAACAGGAATGAAAAGAGGGATTTATGCCTGTTTTTCACATTTACAACCATTGCAGCATCTCCGTGATCACGTGATCAAAACTTCAATGCTTGGCAACTGGCATGTACTTATGACGGTTGCAGTGTCCTGGGGTGTCCCCTTTTTGCGACCCTCAGACAAGCAAAGTCAATGGGGAAGGCAGTGTTAGCTTGCAAAACATCCCTGGCCTGCTCTCGAGTTGCCATAGACAGGAGTGGGGGGGGAATTGAACGGAGCAACATGGCAGCCACAACCAGAAGCACATTCCACGCATATCTTTCTCAAGGCTGTCTCCCAGGTTACCTGCAACAACCAGAGGGGTGTGACAGCCCGCAAAAGTGCTCCATTGGGGAACATGATTTATGACACACCCTGAGAGAAGGGGGGGAAACAGGGTCATAATTGGGCCATAAATTATGTGAGGTCAGAGCTGGCTTCACTTGCTGACATGTTGCTCCTAATAAATAACTGGATTTCTTTGGACGCTTGGCTGTCAGAATCCTGACAGCAAGGTTCACTTGACAACCGTCTTACTAACATAGCAGCTGCAGGGATTCAGTTAGCAACTATGGCGAGAAAGGTTCTGAAATAGGGCAAAATTAACTTAAGAACTTTCTCGCCTAGCAACAGAAGTTTGGGACTCCATTGTGGTCATAAATCGAGGACTACTTGCATTGACGTTAATCCAGAGTTTGGTTCTTGTGGCTCTTTCTCCCACTACATAAAAGTGAGAATGGCAATATCCAATTCTTTAATGCAGAGGTCTTCAAATTTGGCAACTTTAAGACTTGTGGACTTCAATTCCCAGAATTCTCCAGCCAGCTCTACTTTGACTTATATACCACTTTGCAGTGCTCTACAGCACCCCTCTAAGCAGTTTACAGAGTCAGCCTCTTGTCCCCAACAATCTGGCTCCTCATTTTACCCACCTTGGAAGGACGGAAGGCTGAGTCAACCTTGAGCCTGGTGAGATTCGATCTGCCAAACTGCTGGCAGCCGGTGATCAGCAGAAGCAGGCTGCAAGTACTGCGCTCTACTAACCACTGTGCCACTACGGCTCATCAATCTAGCTCTGCACTGGTGACAGGAAGGGCATCCGGCCAGTAAACACCTAGCCCCATTCAGTTGCCCAGACTCCACTTTGCAAAGGATTATGGGGTTGTTAAAAGATGATCTTGGAAATTGCTGTCCCTGGAAACATTGGCCTGGATGATCTGCTTGACATCCATTTTGCTTTAATCCATCCTTGTTTTTCCTCTGCAGGAGTCAGAGAATCTGTGTCTCCGACGGCCAAGCCTGAAATATCGAACGCAGGTGACCATCCCGTCCTCCCAGATTTCCCTGAGAATCGCTCCACTGTCCCGTAAGCTCAATTGTACATCCCCATTTCTTTGGGAAGGAATAGAAGCTGAAAGGACCATTGAACTAGAATCGGGCGAAATTTGGGTTTCGCATCAGCAGAACAGATGTGTTCTGCCATCTCAACTCCAGATGTCCTCTCTTCAATTTAGAGCAGGAAATAGTTGACTTCATGAATCGGGTGCATCTATCAAAGATGTAGGCCTTTCTATAGAATGAATGAGCTGGAAGGGACCTTGGAGGTCTTCTAGTCCAGCCCCCTGCTCAAGCAGGAGAACTTACAATATTTCAGATAAGTGACTGTCTAGACTCCTCTTAAAATTCTCCAGGGATGAAGCACCCATGATTACTGGAAGCAACTTCTGTTCCACTGGTTAATTGTCCTCACTGTCAGGAAATGTCTCCTTAATTCCAGGTTGCTTCTCTCCTTAATTAGTTTCCATCCATTGTTTCTTGTCCTGCCTTCAGGTGCTTTGGTGAATAATTTGACACCTCCCCCCTCTTTGTGGGAGCCCCTCAAGTGCTTCAAACAAGGAAGGTGCGTGGCAGCCATCAGATGTCCGCAGAAATGGTGGATATTATGGAGTTGAAGACCAAATTCTGGAGAGGAGACATCTAAGATAGATTGGTAGATGGGGTTATTGTGTCCTAAATTCCCATTTTGGAAAGATTGGGAATCCAGTTTTAAACACTAATGGGACCATGAGGATATGACCATGAGTTTCAAACCCAATCTTTGTTTGAACCTGGTTTTCTTGGAGAGATCTCATATGGACCTGATGTTTGATGAACATCACCTTGGAGTCCAAGATTCCTTGCGACCTTCCTTTTACCACTGTTCCACAAAATGAAGTTTGCCTCCTTCATCCCGTTCTTTGGGGAGAGACCCATACTTGGCCAATAATGAAGAGGTGGCTTTCTGATTGGAAGACAAAAGTGGCCACTCTTTAGAAGAAGAAGAAGAAGAAGAAGAAGAAGAAGAAGAAGAAGAAGAAGAAGAAGAAGAAGAAGAAG